TAAGAGGGACCTCCCCATACACCAAGGTTGCAAGTTTGAGTCCCCGGCACATACAAGAATCAACCAATGAATGTATAAATAAGTGGAGCAACAAATCTCTCTCTCTCAAATCAATAAATTAAATAAATAAATAAAATGAAACAAAATTGGATCAGAGACAGAGTTGGAAGACCTTGGGTAGCGGAACTAAGGAGAAGTGATGAAGATCCCCAAAGCCAAAGTCTTAGACTTGGTTAGTTTCTCGGTTCTGATTGTGAGATTCACGGAACCTGGGGAGACAATGAAAACCAGGTCCGGACGATTACAGAGGGAGGGGCAGGCGGGCGATTACAGGAGGTTTGAGTGTGAGACTTGCTGTCTTGGTCATTGAGATGGGTGATTGTTCCAGCTCCTAATCTTTCACCATCGGAAGTTCCACTGGGCCGCATTTTACCCCGAATCACATGTAAATGGTAATGTGGCTGCTGCTGGGCGGGTGTGGCCGCAGAAGTGGAAGGAGAGGGGGTGGGTCAGGTGCTGTGAGTTGTGGAGACCGAGGCAGGCTGTGCCCAGATGGTGGGTGAGTGGTTAGGGTGTTTCCAGGGGGTTGCCCACGTCTGGACCCTGCAGTGTGCGGGACGGGTGTTAACCTGCTGCATCCGAAAGGGCTTCAGGGGACACGCGCACTGGGTTCAGATTTCAGCTAGAAAAGCAAGGAGAGAGGAATGTTTAGAGAAAAGCCTTATGACACAAGCTTTTTAAATTGTGGTAAAATACCCATAAAACAAAGTTTCCTATTTTAACCATCAAAATGTATTTATTTATTTATTTATGCGCGAGAGAGAAGCATTGATTTGTTGTTCCACTCGTCCATGCATTCGTTGGCTGCTTCTCATATGTCTGGAGATTGAGCCCACAACCCGGGCATGTGCCCTTGACCGGAATCGAACCCGGGACTCTTCAGTCCGCAGGCTGATGCTCTATCCACTGAGCAACACCGGCCAGGGCCCTCCTCACTCTTTATTTCCATCTCCTAGAGCAGTGATGGCGAACCTTTTGAGCTCAGCGTGTCAGCATTTTGAAAAACCCTAACTTAACTCTGGTGCCGTGTCACATATAGAAATTTTTTGATATTTGCAACCATAGTAAAGCAAAGATTTCTATCTTTGATATTTATTTTATATGTATATATTTGTTTATTAAAAATATATTTTATTGATTTTTACAGAGAGGAGGGGAGAGGGACAGAAGTCAGAAACATCGATGAGAGAGAAACATCGATGAGCTGCCTCCTGTATACCCCGCACTGGGGATGTGCCTGCAATGAAGGCACATGCCCTTGACTGGAATCAAACCCGGGACCCTTCAGTCTGAAGGCCGACGCTCTGTCCACTGAGCCAAACCGGTCAGGGCTATTTTATATATTTAAATGCCATTTAACAAAGAAAAATCAACCCAAAAAATGAGTTCGCGTGTTACCTCTGACACGCGTGTCATAGGTTCGCCATCACTGGTCTAAGCCAATGGCAATGACGGAGAACAAAGGAGCTGACATGAAAGTCAAGGTGACCTCACTCTAGGACAGTGATGGCGAACCTATGACACGCGTGTCAGAGGTAACACGCGAACTCATTTTTTGGGTTGATTTTTCTTTGTTAAATGGCATTTAAATATATAAAATAAATATCAAAAATAGAAATCTTTGTTTTGCTATGGTTGCACATATCAAAAATTTTCTATATGTGACACGGCACCAGAGTTAAGTTAGGGTTTTTCAAAATGCTGACACGCTGAGCTCAAAAGGTTCACCATTGCCCTGGCCGGTTTGGCTCAGTGGATAGAGTGTCGGTCTGCGGACTCAAGGGTCCCAGGTTCGATTCTGGTCAAGGGCATGTACCTTGGTTGTGGGCACATCCCCAGTAGGAGGTGTGCAGGAGGCAGCTGATCGATGTTTCTCTCTCATCGATGTTTCTAACTCTCTATCTCTCTCCCTTCCTCTCTGTAAAAAATCAATAAAATATGTTAAAAAATAAAAAGGTTCGCCATCACTGCTTAGACTGTACTAAGTGTGGTGGCATGGTGCAGCAACGACACTCTCAGGGTGCTGGTGGGAATGTCAGTCATGACATTCACGAGGGGAAATGGTCATGAACTTGCTTCATACGGGTTACAACCTATAGTTATTAACCCAGAAAAATGTCTGCTTATATGCGCAGGGCACAGGATGCGCTCACAGAAGCGTCATTCAGGTTATAAAAAAAATCTAGAAAACCTCTTCTAGTCCTGGCCGGTGTGGCCTCGTGTCAGAGCGTCCGCCTGCCCACTGAAGGGTCGTGGTTTTGATTCCAAGTCAAGGGCAGGTACTTGGGTTGCAGGTTTGAGCCCTTGTCCCGATTGGGGCACATGTGGGAGGCAACCAATCAATGTGTCTCTCTCATGTTGGTGTTTTTCTCTCTCTCTCTCTCTCTCTCTCTCCCCTCTCCCTTCCACCCTCTCTAAAAGATCAATGGGAAAAATGTCCTCAGGTGAGGATTAACAAAAAACAAGAGCGTCAGACAAAAAAGCTATCTACCAGTCAACTGTAGCATTAAGAAACTGGAATAGTGCCCTAGCCGGTTTGGCTCAGTGGATAGAGCGTCGGCCTTAGGACAAAAAGGTCTGGGCTCGATTCCGGTCAAGGGCATGTACCTCAGTTGCAGGCTCAATTCTGGCCCTGGATGGGGCACACGTGGGAGGCAACCAATTGATGTATCTCTCTCACATTGATGTTTCTCTCTCTGTCTCTCCCCCTGCCTTCCACTCTCTCTAAAAATCAATGGAAAAATATCCTTGGGTGAGGATTAACAAAACAAACAAAAAAGAGATTGGAATAGTAACAGTGGACTACTATCCAGCAATGCAAACGGGCCACGTGCAGCCACATGGATGAGTCTTAGAAAAAGAGTCCCAACCGCCCTAACTGGTGTGGCTCAGCGGATAGAGCTGTCAAGGGCATATACCTTGGTTTCGGGCACATCCCCAGTAGGGGGCATGCAAGAGGCAGATGTTTGATTGATGTTTCTCTCTCATCGATGTTTCTAACTCTATCCCTCTCCCCTCCTCTCTGTAAAAAATCAATAAAATATATTTTAAAAAAAAGAAAAAAGAAAAAAAGAGTGCCAACCGAAGCAGGCCATTTGCTAAAATGAATCCTCCGACATCAAGCTGTATCACTCAGAATGCGCATCTAAGCTGAACGATTATATATGTCTTTCTCATTTTATTTTTTAAAATAAAAATGTACTATTAAAATAAATTTTACCTGATTCTTATTACCTTTTTAATGTGTGCGTAAGAAATTTTTTTGTTAAAATATTCTTTTTAAAATGCACGTTTCCATTACAGTTGACATTTAATATTGTGTTAGCTTCGTGCGTACAGCACAGAGGGTAGACAGTTACATCCCTTACAAGTGCTCGCCTGGTAAGTCTGGTACCCACGTGGCACCACCGGTAGTCACGCCAGTGTGATGGGCTGTGATCCCCATGCTGTCCTTCACATCCCGCCACTGCTTTGTAAGCATCAACTTGTATTTCTTCGTCCTTCCTCCTTTCACCGCGTTCTCTAACCCTCCTCCCCTGGGCAGTCACCAGTCTGCCCTCTGTGTCTATGAGTCTGTTTGTTTTGTTGGTTCATATATTTTGATTTTTAGATTCCACATGTAAGTGAGACCATGAGGTATTTGTCTTTCTCCATCTGACTTCTTTAGCACAGTAACACCTTCCAGGCCCATCCATGTAAGATGTCATTAATTTTATGGCCAAGTCATATTCCATTGTATATATGCACCACGTTTTCTTTTTTATTTTAAATTTATTAATCCGCACCTGAGGATATTTTTTCATGGGTTTTCAGAGAGAGTGGAAGGGAGGGGAAGAGACAGAGAGAGAAACATTGATGTGAGAGACACATCATTGGTTGCCCCCGTCCAGGGCCAGGGCTGAGCTTATGATCGAGCATGTGCCCTTGACTGGAATCGAACCTGGAACCCTTCAGTCTGTAGGTGGACACTCTATCCACTGAGCTAAACCAACCAGGGCTACATCACTTCTTTTTTTCCCTCCAAATATATTTTTATTGATTTCAGAGAGGAAGGGAGAGGGAGAGAGAGAGAGAGAAACATCAATGATAAGAGAGAGTTATTGATCGCTGCCTCCTGCACATCCCACACTGGATATCGAGTCTGCAACCTGGGCCTGTGCCCTGACCGAGAATCAAACCATGAGCTCCTGCTTCATAGGTTGACACTCAACAACTGAGCCATGTCACTGGGCTGCACCACATCTTTATCCCATCGTCTATCAGTGGGCTCTTGGGTTGGTTCCATAACTTGGCTATCTATATATATGAAAGCCTAAGTGACCCTTAAGATCGGTAGACTGAACGACTGGTTGACCGGTTGCTATAATGCACACTGACCACCAAGGGGCAGACATTCAACACAGGAGCTGCCCCCTGGTGGTTAGTATGCTCTCACAGCCAACCTCCCCTGGCCAGCCAACCTCCCGCGGTCCCTCCCCCTGGACTGGGCGGCCGAGGGACCCCACCCGTGCATGAATTCACGCACCGGGCCTCTACTGTAAATAATAGACTGAAGCTACTTTCGACGGCTGAGATTTAACTCTCTAATCTCCTCATTCTTCCCCAGGAATCACCGATTTCTTGTTTTTGAAGATTTCCACCTCCCCTCCCGCCTCCCTGGAGGAGTCTGAGCTCATAGTCCTGGGACACCATGGCCGAAGGTTTTTTTTCTGACATTTGCTTGCTGTCGTACCTAAAAGAGCTGAGGAAGAATGAGTTCTGGAAATTTAAGGAGCTCCTCAAGCAAGAACCCAAACAGTCTGACCTCAGGCCAATCCCGTGGCCAGAGCTGAAGAAGGCTTCCAAAGATGACGTGGCCAAATTGCTATGCAGGCACTACCCAGGCACACAGGCCTGGGAAGTCGCCCTGAGGCTGTTTCTTCAGGTCAGTCGGAGAGACCTCTGGGCCAAGGCCAGAGATGAGATCAAAAGTAAGTGTGGCCCTAGCCAGTTTGGCTCAGTGGATAGAGTGTCAGCCTGAGGACTGAAGGGTCCCAGGTTCAATTCTGGTCAAGGGCACAGGCCTGGGTTGCAGGCTTGATCCCCAATAGGGGATTGTGTAGGAGGCAGCCAATCAATGATTCTCTCTCATCATTGGTGTTTCTCTGTCTCTCTCCCTCTCCCTTCCTCTCTGAAATAAAAAAATAAAAAAAAAAGAAGTAAGTGTGCGATGCAGGGGTGGGACGCGGGGAGGGGGTGTATTGGCAACTCACAACAACAAAGGTGGGTCTGTGGGAGCTTGAATTAACAAAGGTGATAACGTCCTCGAATAATGGTCACCCCTCCTTCCATTGAGAATGTGATGGGTTAAGGGGAGACTTGGCTTTGGTAGAAAAATGACAAGGCAGCTCCACTCATACGCGGGCCAGTGATGGCCGGCCGGTGGCTAGTGCCTGAGACGGACTGTTTCTCAGTGGTCCCATTTTTCAGTCCCAATTCGAGTCCATGCTGTCCCAGGAGATGGCCTGGGGCTTAGAGTCTGCGAGGTGGAATTCCATATGACAGTTGTCCATCCTTTGACCGGACCTGCACAAGGAGCCAGGTGGAATCCAATAGTAGGAAATAGTTGCCGAGAGCTTATGTTCCGGGTATATAGGAAGCACTTTTGTTTTTTAAATCCTTGCCAGAGGATATGTTTAATGAATTTTTTAGAGAGAGGAAGGGAGAGAGAGAGAAACATCAATATGAGAGAGAAACACTTATTGACTGCCTCCTGCATGACCCTACTGAGCCACACTGGCCAGGCTTAAAATTTTTTTTTAAATTAAATTGATTGGGGTGGTATTGGTTAATAACATTATGTAAGTTTCAGGTGTATAATTCTATAATACAACATCTGTATATTGGGTTGTATGTTCATCTCCCAACTTTAAAATCTTTTAAAATATATTTTTATTGATTTCAGAGAGGGAGAGGGAGAGGGAAAAGGAGAGAGAGGTAGAAATGTCAATGATGAGAGAGAATCATTGATCGGCTGCCTCCTGGACGTCCCCTACTGGGGATCGAGCCCGAAACCTGGGTATATGCCCTGACTGGGAATCCAACTGTGACCTCTTGGTTCATAGGTCAACACTCAAGAACTGAGCCACCGGCCAGGGCAGTTTGTTTGTTGCTTCCTGTTTTATGCTCCACATGTGAGTGAAACCATAGGGTTCTTGTCCTTTTCTGTCTGATTTATTTCATTTAGCTTACTACTCTCAAGATCCACCCGTGTTGTTGCAAATGGCAATATTTCACTTTTAAAAAATTCCGGAAAGTGTAGCATTGGAACTTTCATTACAACTATCTTTGGGATCACAACTTAATATTTTACCTTTGTTAATGTGTAATTGTATATGGGTTATATTTGTTTTGGGTGTGCAATATAGTGATTTTACATTTTTATACCCTATAATATGATCACCCAACTAATTCTAGTAACTATCTGTCACTGGGTACACTTATCACATATTATTCACTATATTCCCCTCCCCCTTTGCACCCATCCACCCTCCCCACCCTCCTTTCTGGTAACGATTCCTTTGATTCTGTTTCTATGAATCTGTTCTTGATTCCTCTGTGTGTTTGTTTTGTATATGACCCAGCAATTCCACTTTTGGGTGTCTATCCAAAGGAAACAAAACCACTAATTCAACAAAAAACCCCCCACTAATTGGAAAAGATGTATGTCACCCCTATGTCCATTTGCACCATTATGTACAATAGCCAACCTATAGAAGCAACCCAAGTGCCCACAGATAGACAAATGCAAAAAGGTGTATGTCACCCCTATGTCCATTGCACCATTATGTACAATTGCCAAGCTATAGAAGCAACCCAAGTGCCCACAGATAGACAAATGCATAAAGATATGGTGCATATATACAATGGAATATTACTTGGCCATAAAAATAAAATCTCGCCATTTACAACATGGATGGATCTAGAAGGTATTATACTCAGTGAAATAGGTCAGACAAAGAAAACGCATACCATATGGTTTCACTTATATTTTGTCATTTTAAAATCTCGCCATTTACGACAATATGGATGGATCTAGAAGGTATTATACTCAGTGGAATAGGTCAGACAAAGAAAACACATACCATATGGTTTCACTTATATTTTGTCATTTTTCATGGCTGTGTAGTATTCCCTGTATACTCGTCCCATGCCTTTTTTATCCCATCATTCCTTGTCTTAGCTATTGTGAATGAGCGCATTTTTAAAAAATTTAAATTCTCGATCGTTGAAAGTATTACACATGTCTCCTTTTCCCTTCATTGACCTCTCCCCAGCCACCCCCACTGCCCAGCACATGCCCTCACCCTCCTACTGTCTGTGTCCATGGGTTATGCTTCTATGCATGCATACAAGTCCTTTGGTTGATCTCTTCACCCGCCCCGCCACTGCCTTCTCTCTGAAGTTTGGAGGTCTGTTAGAAGCTTCTCTGTCCCTGGATTTATTTTAGTTCATCAGTTTATGTTGTTCATTATATTCCACAAATGAGTGAGATCATGTGATATTTATCTTTCTCTGACTGGTTTATTTCACTTAGTACAATGCTCTCCAGGTCCATCCGTGCTGTTGCAAATGGTAGGAATTCCTTCCTTTTTACTGCAGCATAGTATTCCATTGTGTAGATGTACCACAGTGTTCTAATCCATTCCTCTGCTGATAGGCATTTAGGCTGTTTCCAAATCTTAGCTATGGTGAATTGTGCTGCTATGAATGTAGGGGTGCATATATCCTTTCTGATGGATGTCTCTGGTTTCTGTGGATACATTCGTAGAAGTGGGATCACTGGGGCAAATGGGAGTTCCAGTTTTTAAATTGCCTTGTATTCTGTCCTCCTGAACTCAGATAAGATCAACCCGTATAAAAGCAACATGAGGAAAAAGTTCTCTGACATATGGCAGAATGAGACGTGCCTGGCGGTGCCAGAGAGCTTCTACGCGGAGTCCACCAAGGCTGAATACGAGAGGCTGAGCCAGGCGTTTGCGGCCGACAAGGCGGGCGAGCACTCGGTCACGGTGGCCCTGGTTGGTGCGGAGGGGACGGGTAAGACCACGCTGCTGAGGAAGGTGATGCTGCAATGGGCCGAGGGCAACCTCTGGAAGGGCCGCTTCACCTTTGTCTTCTTCCTCAACTGCTGGGAGATGAACAACATCGACAAGACCAGCCTGGTGGAGTTCCTCTCCAGGGACTGGCCCGAGCCTTCCGAGCCCATCCACGACACCTTCTCCCAGCCCGAGAAGATCCTGTTCATCATAGACGGCTTGGAGGACCTGAAAGTCGACGCGGGCCTGGACGGCGACCTGTGCAGCGACTGGGAGCAGCCGCTGCCGGTCCACGTGGTCCTGCGGAGCCTGCTGCAGAGGACGCTGCTGCCCAAGGCCTCCCTGCTGGTCTCCCTGAGCGGGGAGTGGCTCAGGAAGTTCTGCCACCTGCTGCACCACCCGGTGTACATCTACCTCCTCGGGTTCTCGGGCCACCTCAAGTGGCTCTATTTCTCCCGGTTCTTCCAGGACACGGACCAGGCCGCCCAGGCCTTTAGTGTGGTGAGAGGCTACAAGCCACTGTTCTCCCTGTGCCGGTACCCCCTGGTGTGCTGGCTGGTGTGCGAGTGTCTGGAAAAGCAGCTGCAGAGATGCCAGCCCCTGGGGATTAACTCCCAAACCATTACGTGCATCTACTCCTCCTTCCTCACCAGTGTGTTCCAGCCGGAGCACACGGGCTGGGCGTCGGGTCACTGCCACAGCCGCCTCAAGTGTCTGTGCGCCTTGGCGGCCGAGGGCACGTGGGCCGGCCGGTTCGCCTT